TGGAGAAGCCAAAGAACTTACATGTATAACCCACTGACGTGAACTAAGGGAGGGGGGAATGCTGGAGGGAAAGGAGATACAGGGTGAAAGGGGATAAAAAGGAGAAAAAAAATGGGACAACTGTAATAGCACAATCAGTAAAATACATTTTTAAAAAAATAATTAATTAACTGATTAATTAATTAATTCAAACCAGTGGTGCAGTCCACCACAGTGTGATAAGATAATCCATTCTATCCTCCAGTTGTGCTGTTTATTTTTGTACCTACTGCTTGGATGTCCCCTCCAGCCACCAAGGAAAAAGGATGCTGCTGTGTAATAGGATCTCAAGGCACTGACTTTGCCCAGGGTCACTGGTGAGTCATAGGGGAGGACTTGTTTTGAAGGCCTGGCTCTTCCTGTCTACCTGCCCACTGCTCTCACCCCTTCCCACCCAAACAGGCTGCAGGCAGGAAGATTAAAGTGCTTCTGGCCAGGTCCTTTTTCCTGTCCCACCCCCTCTCTTCTCCTCCCTTGAGTCCTTTTGAATTGGAGGCACTTCCCTACCACCTAGAGCTTCTCAGCATCCATCCTCCCCACCTGCATAGCCTCTCCCCACTTTGACGTTAGCTTCCAGGCAGGCTTCTGACAAAGGACTCCAATAGGGTCCCCTAGCGCCTGGCCTGGCCCATCACCGCAGATACCAATGGTCCTAGCCAAGCTGCCTCAGAGGACAGGCCCCCCAAGACTTGGCAGTGCCAGCTGCATCAGTCACCACTCCTCAGGCACACTGGCCCTCTGGTTGGCCCTTGAACTTCCAATGGCTTGTTGTCAGTCATGATTCACCTGACTTCAAATCCCAGACTTCCTCACTCCCCAAAGGTGCTTCCCGGGGCTGCTGTCAGTGCTGCCCTTCACTGGCCGCACTTGAGAAGCAGAGAGGAATTAATGTGCAGAAGGAATAATTATCTAGAGCCCCCCTACTTGGGGCCACTAGAGACCTGGGCATATCTCTGCACCTGAGCCCAGGCTGAAGAGCATTGTGAGAAGCAGGCACCCCTGGGAAGCGGGAGAATTCAGGACGGAATTATTTGAGCCAGTCTGCATTTGCTAAAGCCTCCAGGGCTCTGAAGGAGGGTGAGTGGCTTTGCCTCAAGAGCATCCACTTGAGCCGAACACTGAAGTGATGAGGGACTTGGACGGCTCTGACAAAAGGAAAAGCTAGAGCTCACTAAGATGTGGGGTTAAGAGTAGAGGCCTTGCCATGCAGATCAGCTGTGCAGCCTTGAGCAAGTCACCTGACCTCCCTGAGCCTCAGACCACTGTGAAGCAGTGGTGATGACAGCCCCTACCAAATGAAGGTGATGTTTAGGAGAAACTGAAGGCAGGCATGAAGTGTACCAAGCACAATGCCTGTCACTCAGGCAGGGGGCAGAGAAACAGGAAGGTACTGTTCCAAAGCCTGCTGACCTGGCCTACTTCCTGCCACCTGCAGAGACCTAGTAGGGTCTGTTCTCCCTCTGGAAGCATCTGTAGGCACCAGGCATGGCTTCCATTATATTAGGACATCTGTGAGGCCCTGAGGATCAGCATCATCACACGGGAGAGCATGTCCAAAGCCCAACCACTACAGAGAAAAAGAAGAGAAGCAATCAAGGACCTCCTGATTCCTTGCCACCTTCTGTGATAGCTCATGAGGTGCCAATGTCAACTCTCTTATTAATGAACAAGTATTTCTAGCTGCAATGACCAAGGAGATGGCCAGAGATCAAAACTTTCCATGGTTAAGATCCCTAAACAGATGAGCAAACATAAAGGTTAAGGCAACAGGCTTTATATATAAAAATATATATGTGGACTCCAGCTGGGTAGGCCAGTTGGTTGGAGCATCGTCCCAATACACTAAGGTTGAAGGTTTAACCCTCAGTCAGGGCACTTAAAGTAGAAAAAAAAAAGTTCCAAAAGTATACATGTGATCAAAGAAGAACCTGCACCAAGAGTTTATTTTTATTTGTTACATGGTTTTGACAAGGATGCACACCAAAGTAGAATAACCCTGAGATCATTCCTATGAGAGCTGAAGTAAAACTAAGGATAAAAAACGTCATTTTATATTGAGTCAGTAGATGAGACAGATGCAGTTATACCACCCCCAAGCGAGTGGTGCTGGAGAGATGCGACTTCACTTCTCTGAGACACAGCTTCCTGGACTTCTGAAATAAGGACCAGGGATCACATTGCCTCTCCCTCCATCACATGACTTTCATGAGCCTCCCTAGGAATGATCTGAACAGGAGAAACATCGGGAACTCTGTCCCAATTTGTAGGTGACAACAAGCCCTTGAAACACTGAAATACCAGGGAATCCAGTGCAATGGTCTAAATGAAGTGATGGTGGCAGCTGTGCCTCAAAGAAGGCAAATAAGGGGAACATGCTAAGAGAAAAGCTATCCAGACTCAACTCCAGCTTGATGGCCTTTCTGTCATCACCTACATGCCAGAGAAAAAAATGCATGTCACAAAGCTTCCATCGTGTATGTAACTTCTGTCTTAAGGAGCCAACCCAGCAAAGACTATCATCAAGGGAGAGTCTGGAAACAAACCAGAAGCCCCCAACCTGTTCTCTAAATCATCCTAATCCCTCAAAAACTCTAAGGAGATGCAAAACAGTCAGAGAACTCTCAGAGATATATAACATTAGGCCACAAGGATACAGCTTTTCAGCTTAGACAAGTAGAAGTGGTATAAAATCCAAGGCACAGAGGAGAACTTGACCTTTTCACCAAACCCCAGTGTTTGAGTACTTAAAGAGATGACATGAAGATATCGAACATAAACGGCTTCTGAGACATGGGGCAGCAAACACCCGAAGCATATCACAGCCCGAGAGTGGTACTGGGAGAAAATTCAAAAACCTTCAAGAATGGTTCAAAGGACTGGGGGATGAAATAAGTCGGTGAGAAAAAGATGAGAACCTTATGTCACTCATACCTTATGGACACAGACAGCAATGTGGTGGCTACCAGAGGGGTGGGGGTGGGGGTGGAGGTAGCCTAATATATGGTGACAATAAATGGTTTGACTTTAGGTAGTGGGCACACTGTGCAATATACAGATCATGTATCACAGAAACGTACACTTGAAACCTTTATGATCCTACTAACCAAAGTCACCCCCCAAAAAAATTTTTTAAAAGACCGTGGGGGTGATGAACTGTGCTGGTACTAAGGGCTGTGGTGGGTCCACTGACCATTTTTCAGGTAAAACCCAGGCAGTACAGTCCTGCGCTAACACCACACAGTCTGTATACCCTCATTGCTGGAGAAAGAGAGGGGTGGGCAGGAGCAGCTATGGGGCTCCCTTGGACAGCAGCCACTGCCCCCCACCCAGGCTGTGGCCTCTCCTGTGTCAATAAGGTTACCAGTTCCCTCCCCCTTTTTCTCTGCCTACCAGGCTGGAAAGCATGAAGAGCAAAGAAACTTTGCCTCAGTCAGGCACAGATGTATGATTCCAAGAGCCAAATTCCAACTGTATTACTGAGGCTGGAACTGACTACTCCCAGTTACCTAAAAAGCCAGGCTCCCCTTTTCTATAGTAAAAATCCAACTACTGTAGAATTCAAAAATATATTTCAAAATCTAGCTTTATTAAAAGTTCTGTTTTCTCCATCAATCAGCTGCCCTAAAGAAGTCTTCGTATATCCCAGAGGTTCCTTAGAAGGGGATGGCTAATTTCAATATCCAGAACCCTAATGTTCTCTCGGTATACAGCTCCCTTCCTCAGGCAGAATCCTAAAATAGCAGCAGTCCAGATTAGTATGGTGTGAAGAGTAGGTGCTTGGTTGAATAACATCTAATAAACGAGAAGCCGGACCCCAAACAGAGCCACCTGGTGGGCATGAATACCAGGCAACAATGAGGCTGTTCCCTTCAACCAAATCTTGCCCTGGCTATCACAGCTCCAGTCTGCACTACATTCTGCTCCCCACCGAGAAGCCCGGTTAGCCCAGGAAGAAGAGGGGCCGGCAAGCGGCGGCCTCACCTTTCAGCAGGTCCGTCTGCACGTAGCCCAGCACATCGGAGACCCCCAGCTCCTGTCGGGAACAGGTGCCGCCGTGAATATGCAGCCAGGCAGGCTCGGCGAGGGCAGTGCACAGCGCCGTGATGGACAAGGCGCCAGGCAGGGCCGAGGCCAGGCTACGCTCCGGCTGCTTGGGCAGAGCGCTGCCTCCCGGGCTCCTCCGCCGGCGCCCGCCGGGCACCCCTGCGCCTCCGGGGGCGTACATGCCCGGGGCCGCCCGCCGTCGCTCCGGGGTCGCTGATGCTCGCCGCCGACCTCCGCGGAGAGCGCAGAGTCTGCCTGTTCCAGGGAGGATGCCGGTAAGGAAGGTGCAGGGCTACCAGGGCCGACACCGGAGGCTGGGGAGGTTGGGACCAGGGACCGAGCGGAGACAAGAGGGCTGCAGGGATTCAGGAGGCGGGGACGGTGACTGGGTCCCTGGAGTGGAGGGTGGGGAGCGGAGATATGGGTTACCAGTGGGAGAGAGACCCGGACCCGGAGTCTCAGCCAGAGGATGCCGAGGGACGGAGGACTAGGCTGGGCCGCGGGGATCCGGGACCCAGGATCCAGGAACGGCGCTCTGGGATGCGACCTCTGCCTGATGAAGGCCCTTTCCCACACCAATCGGTGTTCCTCACCAGTCAGCAGGCCTCAGGGATGGCGGCGTTCCTTCCCGTCACAGGCTCCTCAGCAGCCCGAAGCCGAGCGATCCCAGGCCCTAAAACCAAACACCCAGACCGACCCGAGTCGGACCCACTTCCGCTTCCCCTTCCTCTGCCTCCGCCTCCTCCCGCTCCCCGCCCAGTCTCCGCGAGCGCTACAGGCTGACGCATCACCGCCCCCCTGCGTGGGGCCTCACGGGACTGGTAGTTCGATGGGGTCCCCCGACGCTTCACTTTGCGTTGGAAGTCGACTACAACTCCCAGGGGTAAATGCGGCAGCATTAGAGGGCACTTCATTTCCCAGGTGGACCCGGTCCTCGAGTGGAAGCGGCCGACCGGCCACCGGAGGCTCTGTCGCGGTCGCGGGAATCTGCGCGTTGGCACCCGCTGGTTGTGCTCTGCCCACCTTCTCCTCGTCTTGCTTTGCGTCAGCATGAAGGACTCGCTGGTCCTGCTGGGCCGTGTTCCGGCGCACCCGGACTCGCGCTGCTGGTTCCTGGCCTGGAACCCCGCAGGAACTCTGCTGGCCTCATGCGGGGGCGACCGCAGAGTCCGCATCTGGGGCACCGAGGGTAAGGCTCGGCCTGGGCGCGGGAGCCCGCCGCCGGGAGTTCCGCGTGCGTGCAGTGTGGATGCCGGGCTAGGGGTGCACCCAGGGAGAGTGGGGAGAGGCCACCTCGAGGTGGATTCGAGCAACTCCGAGACAGACTTTTCGGATCTGTACTAGAAGCAAAAACGTCAGCAGACAGCCTAGAATTGTTGAGGAAATTGCGATAGTTGTTGAGGTAGGAAAACAGAAGAGCAGTGGAAAGTGACCTGCAGAGTAATTTGCGACAACGGCAAAGTTTAAATTTTATCCCGAGGGTATTTGGGAACCATTGACTATTTAAATTAGGAGGTGACTCCCCATAGGGTCTGTTACTTATTCCTAAAAGCATATTGTTAAATATGCCCATTGGGATTGCTTGGCCTCCACCTTGGCTCCGGTGCTAGCCCCAACTGTCAGATGGCATTGATAGTGTTTCAGTGTCTTCTTGTACACCCAGCCCCATGCCTGGCCTGGCCTTTGCTTTTAGGTGACAACTGGGTCTGCAAATCTGTCCTTTCTGAAGGCCACCAACGCACTGTGCGAAAGGTGGCTTGGTCTCCCTGTGGCAATTACTTGGCCTCTGCCAGCTTTGATGCTACCACTTGCATTTGGAAGAAGAATCAGGATGACTTTGAGGTAACGGGGCAGGATGGGACCAGGATTGTTGCTCATTTGCTCTTCAGGGCTGATTGAGGAACTTGAGCCAGCCTGGGCCAGTGGGCTGTCAGGGGTCACTGTTGATTCTTGTCCCTCTTCCCTTTCACAGTGTGTGACCACTCTGGAAGGCCATGAAAATGAAGTCAAGTCAGTGGCCTGGGCCCCATCTGGCAACCTCCTTGCTACCTGCAGCCGAGATAAGAGTGTGTGGGTCTGGGAAGGTAAGTACAGGTCCCTCTAGGTGCAGTTGGGAGCCAGTGGACAGAACCCACTATGTGACCCTGACAGGGTTAGCTCATGGGCTCCTTTCTGTTTTCTTCCCGCAGTTGATGAAGAAGATGAGTATGAATGTGTCAGTGTCCTCAACTCCCATACACAGGATGTCAAGCATGTGGTCTGGCACCCAAGCCAGGAGGTAAGAGTCTGACAAATTATCTCAGTGGAAAGGAATTCTGGTATGGCAGGTTGTCCCCAAACCCTTTCTGCCCCTCAGCCTTAGCCTGGTTTTCACAGGAAGCTCTATCTGTGGCTGAGAGACATTAATCCCTGTTGTAAAGCTTCCTGGGACTGTCCTGTTCTAGCAGGGAGAGGTTTTGGAACCACAGGCAGTTCCTGGGACAAAAGTGCTGTGTTTTCCTGTGTCCCCAGCTATTAGCTTCTGCCAGCTATGATGACACAGTGAAGCTCTACCGGGAGGAAGAGGATGACTGGGTATGCTGTGCCACCCTTGAGGGCCACGAATCCACCGTATGGAGCTTGGCCTTTGACCCTAGTGGCCAGCGTCTAGCGTCTTGCAGTGATGACCGTACCGTGCGCATCTGGCACCAGTATCTACCAGGCAATGAGCAAGGTGAGGGAACAGATGCAGAGCTGAAAGACTCCTCTCCAAGAGATTGACAGTCCACTCAGGGGCTAAGACACAGATGAAGCACAGCAAGCTGGGGTAGAAGGAGAGATGTGCCATGAGAGGGCACCAGAGAGCTCTGGAAGAATCAAGGGAGGCTATGTGCAAAGGCTGTTTTCACTGGAATTTGAAGGGGTGTATACGATTTTAGGATTTTTTTTTAATCCTCAGCTGAGGATATGTTTTTATTGTTTGGAGAGAGAGAGAGAAACATAAATGTGAGTAAAAAACATCTATCGGTTACTTCCCGAACACACCCTGTCTGGGGATGAACCCACAACCTTTTTGTGCAGGGATGATGCTCCAACCAACTGAGCTACCCAGCCAGGGCAGTGTGTGTGGGATTTCAACACAAGAAGAGAACTCTAGGTGAAAACAATGGCATGATCAAAGGCATTAAAGATGGGAAAGCCTAGATCTACTCCAGGAGCAGTGATTCCTTTAGGTGAAGCATAGGGTATATAAAATGTTTGGGGAGAAATACGGTGGGTTGGACTGGCTTTTGGGTGGCCTTCAAAGGCAGGCTAAGTAATCGGACATAGTCTGCATGAAAAGGGTTTTCCTTGTGTTGTTTGTTTGTTTGTTTGTTTTAAAGAACAGGACATTTCCTTCTCAGAATTCTGTAAAATGCCAGTCTGGCCACAGTATGTAAGGCAGATGGGTGAGGATGGGGACAGGAACAAAGGTGAAGATTCATGATTGAGGGTTGGAGTGAGGGAGGGTAAGTTAGGATCTCCTCTGCAGTGGGGCATTTAATTTAGTTCTCTGAGGTGCCCGGGACACAGATGTGTCTTAAACTCAAGTCTGTCATGCAGGGGTGGCATGCAGCAGCTCTGATCCCAGCTGGAAATGTGTCTGCACTTTGTCAGGCTTCCACTCCAGGACCATTTATGACATCGCTTGGTAAGGCCTCCATCTCCTTTCCCCATCTCCACTCCACCACCCCGCAATTTGGAGACATTTTAGAAACAGACCTCTGCCCCCTTTGAAAGTGCACAGGAATAGAAAGCAGCACCTTTATTTCTTCAGAGCAGGCCAAACTGTCCACCATGCTGGCTTAGAGCTGGCTGGCACAGGTTCACGGGAGTCCAGAACAGACTCAGACCCAGGTTTGCCCCTGCATTAAGTTCCCAGGCAGTGAGGTAAGCATTAGCCTTTGCAGAATATCACACAGTATTGTACCATCCAGAAATATTCAATGAAATGATCCATGGCCAGGATTTTTATGTTTGATAACACTGACTCTACCCTTATAGAGTCAAGAAAAGCTAATACCATTCATATGAGAGAACCAGTCAGGGGCAGTTCTGGCCCTAAGAATCTATACCTAGGAAATAATCCTAAATAATGAAAATGGTTAATGTGCCTCTAAGCTTTATTTATATTAGCAAACATTTCAGAGTAACAGAAACAGACTTGATAAAATTCAATGGCCCATTATATCACTTTTTAAAAATGCTTACACAAACTTCATGACAAAGGAAATTGTTTATGTGAAGTGACAAAAGTATAATTCTGAATCTTACGTAGTTTTTTAGGTTAATTATATTGGGGGGGTAACCTAGATGGCAGCACTTGAATGCTTAGTGGGTGATGTCTGTGGCTGTATGTTAGGGGAGTTCCTTAATAAGAGATGTTAGCTGAAGCCCGAAGTTTGGGAAGAAAGCCAGCCAGGAACTCTAGAATCAGTATCTTATACTAACTTGCTGGGTTGGGGAGGGATCAGCCACCAGCACAAGCCCTGATGCACATGTTCCTCCCAGGTGTTCGCTGACAGGGGCACTGGCTACAGCTTGTGGGGACGATGCCATCCGAGTGTTTGAAGAGGACCCTGGCTCAGATCCACAACAGCCCACCTTCTCTCTGACAGCCCACTTGCCTCAGGCGCATTCCCAGGATGTCAACTGTGTGGCCTGGAACCCCAAGGAACGGGGGCTCCTGGCCTCGTGCAGTGATGATGGGGAGGTGGCCTTCTGGAAGTATCAGCGGCCAGAAGGCGTCTGAGCCACCTCTACTTTGGACAGAACCATGGTTTCCCAGAAAATGTCGTAAGACTTTTCCTAGCCCAAGTGGACCTGAAGGAGCAGCCTGACCTTCGTTTAACTTGGCTGTCTTCCAGTCAGACCTGGGTGGGCTTGCAGGGCCACAGAGTCTTCTGTTTCTCTCCTTTGCCATGGGGCCCTTTATGAACAACTACAGAACAGCAGTTCCTTGTAGTTATGCCACAGATTTTGCTTCCCTTTAGCTCACACTGTTAAAGTTGGGGTGGGGTACTACTTATAACCACCATATCCATGTGTAGGAGGGTTGTATCTCAGACCTTTCTGAAATTGTCAGCCTTAGAGGATTAATCCGAGTCCCAAGTCCTATTTATATAGTTAGCACATTCACAATTTAAAACATTTCCATAACGGGTTCTTTTCTGAAATAGGTCCTGCCTTCCTGATTTCCAAGGCTTTGCATTTAAGGCATTTGATAAATATTAAAGGAAAAATACTTTTAGTGTAGACTAAAGACACCTCTGCTTTCCCTTAAAAACCCTCATGTATCTTATGTCCCTGCGGGGAATGCCAAAAAAATAAACGAGGAAGGGTGTGAACCCTAAAAGGTAGAGTTGTTACTGATCACAGGCCATACACTCTCAATGAGGCTGAAAATTGGTTCTTGGGTGGAAGACAAAAAAACCTTAGAGACAATACCTTGTAGTCATCTAAGGGACCACAGTACACAACACACAGTATATCTGTGGTATTAAATTTTCATGGTGAGGGCAAGTAGGAAAAAGATAACTGATACAGCTCCTTAAGAAAAAAATGAAAAAAGGTAGAGAATTACTGCCATAGGCGATCCCTTCTGCCATCTCATCACACTCAAGTTGTCTTGTCACCTGATAAGGGTTTTGGCTTGAACTGTTCCCCAAAGCTACATCTTTCATTAATTTTTTATACCACAGATATAATGACCATAGACTCAAGAGACAGGTGCAGCAATACCAAAAGCCATGTTTCTCAAATGAACTCTGCAGATCGGATCTGCAGAGTTTGAGTGCCTAGGGGTTAGAGAGTCTTAGAGGTGAGCTGTTGCCATATTGGCAGGAGCCATGGCAGTGGCAACTAGTAGTGGTGGTCTTTACTGCCTTGCTCACAGCAAAAGTACTGCCTACTTCACTTAGAAATATCTTTTGAGAACCAGTACAAATTAATTGTATAAAATCTCGACACTTGGGAACACTGCCATGTCCTGTGACAATGGCAGCATGCAGACAGCACAATGAAGTGAGTCTTAAGGAAAAGTAGTTGTGTAGTTAAACTGCAAGCTGAATGAGCTATGTACCATTTTTACTTGTAGCAAATTACAGCATCAAAACTTCACTACTTGGAAGATGATTTCTGTGAAATGAATGAATCACTTCAAGGGCAACTGATGGCATTGCCAATGATCAAGCATTGAAGCAAAAATCAGAATTTTGGAAAACTTGGATAACCACAAGCTTGACATCTTTACAGTACACTCATACCTCCATACTCCTCAGCTTCAGAACTCGTCAAACCCCATGCTCATCATTTTGACCAGAAAAATTGTTTTGGCACTCAGCACTTGCTAAAACTCGTATCAGTCACCATGCCGCCTGGCAAGAGAAAATGCTTCATTGTTTGGTATGAGTTTTTGCATTCATCAGGAGTTCCAGAACAAATTAATGACGTGTATTGAGATACCACTGTACTTACGATTCTTCTGATGAGATTGGTGATACTAACAAATGCAGTTTGTATGATGAAATGTGTCAACATTTGGAAGATCTGCATGATTCAGTCAATCAGCATTTTCCAAATGATTAAAGTGTGATGTTACAAAATCATGGGTAAGAGGTAAGAGACGCGTGCTCTTAATGTAATGGTATAGGAAGCTCATTGATAAGGTTTGATTTCACATTGCACTTATGAAACTATCACTTGTGGAGTCTCAGTCTAGCATCAAAGAGCCAGTTTCTAAGGCTATTAAAAACTCCAATTGTATGCGAAAATCAGTTTTACTTCAACTTAAGTAATACACAATTGTAGAAGTTAACTACAAGAATCTGTCTTCTTTTAAATCAGGAGTGAGATACATAAAAATGTCACAGGCCACTCTTCCTGTATTTGCTTTAGAAGCAATTTTTTATAAAAATTCAACATAAATTAATCATTTTTAATACAGTTTTCAATTTGTAATATAGTAAATATCAGTGGATAACAACCTCTTTGGGGTTCTTAATTTTTATAGTGTAAAAGGTTCCTAAGACCAAATCATTTGCCAACAGCTAACCCAAGGAAGTTACCCTTGAGAATCATCTTTCAATTTTACGCAATTACTCCTACAGAACAGGAGGCAAGAATTTGAGGAGGAAATTTTGCAGATAAAGATCACAATATAAGTGTACCAAACTTGGGCCACGCCCAGCTGGTGCATTTCAGTCCTTCCCCTGCTTCCTCCTAGGGGGATAGCAGGTGGGGCCGGGCAGACTACAGATCTTGAGAAACTTCCAGCCTGTGATCTGTCCCTGCAGCTCAGTGTTAGTTCCTGCAGTGGTGGTGGCACCTGGGGAATGAGGTGAGGGCCCATGTATACTGACTAAAAAGCTCCCTAACCCCCTCTGAACCTCCTGAAATGTCTGCCTGTGACAGCCTAAAGAACAGCATTGTTCTCCAGAAGTATTAATCCTAAATTCAGTGGTTAAAACCGTTTTGGCCAGGAGCCTTAAGTTAGACAAAAGAAACTTGATTTGGAATTACCACAAAAACAAATGGTTTCTCCAATTTATTTTATTAGAATGTATGATTCTATAATCAAAGAACTACCAAGAACATGCCTAAAAATGCTGTACAGTTTATGCTTGACAGCTACGTGACACCTGCACACACTGGATTCAAAGCTTGGATGGCAAAGTAGCAAGAGGGAAATGGAGTGGAAGCGGGCTGGAACAGCACCTTCATTGACTGGCGGTTCTCCCCGCCATCAGACCTGGTCTCCGCAACTGTCATCCCATACAACTGTCCAAGTTCCTAACTCAAATTCAGCTTCTCTTTGTAAGGCCTCTGCACTCAATCGGAGTCACTGTCTGTCTCAGCTTCTTTCACATCCACGCTGAATTTGTATTCCTGGTCACATCCCATGTAAGCATCACTCATGAAGTACAGAGTATAGTTGTGGGCACCAGTGGCCGGGGCCACAAAGTCAAGCTTCACCTAGAGAGAACAAGCAGGAATCAGGGGAAGCAGCACACAGGGAGTGCACCCTGCCCGTCTCAGAACAAATGCAGGGCCAGTGGACACTCACCTTGGCCTTCTGCTGCAGGGTCAGCCTCTTGATAGAGATGAGACTATTGGACTTGGCATCTCCGATCACCACCCACCAGCCCTCTTCACGTTTCTGCAGTGACCAAAAGCCAAAAATTTCAGCACATAAAACTTGTCATGTGAGACCGTGAGGATGGTTACAGAAGAAAACCAGACAGCTTTCTAAAATTTCCTCTTGGAATATAATTTGATAAAACTAAGATTTTGAAACTGTTACATGGTACCTCAAATGAACTCAGTTTTTAAGTAGAAGGTAGGCTCATTTTTTTTGTTCAGGCTTCCTTGTCCCAAAGTACCTTCTCCATTCAATATTTGCCATGGCAACTGAGATTCTACTATTAAAGATCTAGACTATGTGGCCTGGAAGCTTTAGAGTTCTCCAGATACCTCTAGGGCACATCTGCCAGATTTAAAACATAAACATGGAGCCAAGCTGCCCACAGAGAGGATCCGAGGTGGGCCTTGCCTCTATCAAGAAACTTCTGCTGGCCACTCCACTCTAAGAAAGTCCAAGAATTCTAAATCAAAGCATCATTTCTCAGAATGTATTAAGCTAGTTTGTAAAATTAAACTTAGTATATCTGGTTTCTGCTTTCAAACTTCAATTATTCTCCCATACAAGGATTTGGCTTTTCTTTCTGGTGGTAAGAAACGAACAACTGGAAGCACACCAAGTGGCAGTGAGAAATGAGAAGAAATACCTAGAAAAGTCCAACTGTCCTGGAGCCATTTGATTTAAGGTTAAAGACAACTGTGTTTTAATAGTCACAGATTGACGATAATGTTCAACTGCTATTTTTTACAATGACCAGTCATCCAAACTGTTTTTATAAAGAAAAAAATTTTTTAAAGATTTTATTTATCTCCCTTTAGAGGAGAAGAAAGGGAGAGAAACATCAGTGTGTGAGACACACAGATCAGCTGTCTCTCGCACGGCTCTAACCGGGGACCTGGCCTGCAGCCTAGCCATGTGCCCTGATCAGGAATTGAACCGATGACCTCTCAGTTCGCAGGCCAGTGCTCAATTCACTGAGCCCCACTGGCCAGGACCTAAACTATTTTAAGGCAGCCCTGGCCAGTGTGGCTCCATTGGTTAGAGCATCATCGTGTAACTGGAAGATTGCAAGTTAAATTCCTGGTCAAGGCATATGCCCAGCTTGCAGGTTCAATCCCCAGAACAGGCACCACACACTCCCAGGTCCGGAAGCATACAAGAGGTAACTAACTGATCGACTGTTTTTCTCTCACATTGTTTCTCTCTCTTCCTACCTCTCTAAAAGCAATGGGAAAATGTCCTTGGTTGAGGATTTTTTTTCAAAAATTGTTTTAAGACCAAAAGAAAAACCAAACCCCCCACAAAAACACCAATAGCCCCAACATCAACATTACTTCTTAATCTATAACTTGTGACTTCGTTACTATTCTAAATTTCCCTCCTTAGTGATCTTTGTACTCAGACACTACCGATGGATAAAAGGCCACCAGCAGACACCTGGAAAAGCCAGCTACTAGGACATACCTGTGGGAAGAGAGGTGCTATCACAGGACCTGTGACTTCCTCCTCTCGCTCCAGCTGTACCAGCACCACAACAGGCCCGCCACTGATGGGGAGAAAAGCAGGGCAGCACATCAGTACCAGGGCAGCAGAGTCACAGCACACCAGCAGGGACCCCACAGCAGGGAACCCGGCCCTCTCTGGCTCACCTGCGGATCATGTCCTTATCCACCACTTCATAAGACAGCTCAATATTAGGATAGCGGTTACAGAACCGGGCCACATCTGCCATCTGGCTGTCAGACAGCTGAAGCAGTGCATTTCGCTCTTCATCCTCCATTTCCATGATATCGAATACACTCTCCACTCCCTGCAGTGGATGTTCAGAGGTCAGGGTAGAAGAGAACACATGCTAACAACAAATGAAACAGGCTCTAAGTGGCTGCTAATTTCTACCCTACACGTCAGCCATCTAAAGACAAGGCTTCACAGAGAATACGGCCTGCATTTGTCAGGCTCTTTAGCAACTCAATGTATAATACCTTCAGAGGAACCACAAAGAACTAGAGGTCTCCCCTCTTGTGACTCACCGCACCCCCCACCCCAAGCCCAGGACACTCAACTCTCAGGCTCAGCCAAGTCTGGACCTAGCTCACCTTGTCTGTGCAACGTTTGATATGCTCTGAGGTGAAGTGTGGGAGCTGTTTCAGGTATGAGTCCTTGGACCACATGGCTTGGGTGACCATCTGGGCCAGTTCCATGGCTGCCAGAGCAGGACTGAGCCACCCATTGCTGGAGAGGACATCCACACAGGCCTGGATAAGCCGGATTGCCTGAGTGGGGTAGAAGCACAAGAGCAGGGAAGAAGAGGGGTTAGAACTGCTCCTTCACAGGCCCCTGTGGGTGCTCCCAACCATGCCCACTCTGCACCCACACTCTACCTTGCTAAGGATCTCCTCGGTATCTGACTGCAGCTCAGCACTCAGCTGCATGCGGGACAGGTGAGCCTGCAGGAGCAGGTTAGTCTTGACGTGTGGATCATTGAATTTAGGGTTGTTCAGCTTGTGAGGGACTTTCTGAGCCAACTGGAAAGCACAAGAGAAATAGCTGGTGATGAAACAGGTGACCCAGCCTGAGACCAGCTCTCAGGCACAAAACACTAGCCATCCCAGGCTCACAGCCTTTCAAAGCTCAGAGGGAGGTGGGGGTGGATGATAAGGGCCTGCTGGGAGTTTCCTGTGGTGACAGATCCCGTGTGCTCCGGGCACACAGGCCACTCTCCTGAGGCCAAAGTGTCCCCACCTGCCGCAGGAGGTTGTCCTCATGGTGCCGGATGGGAATGTTCTCGTACTCAGCCGCGTTAGAGATGATCTCGATGAGCCCCCGCACCTTAGTCTTGGCATTCAGGGACATACTGAAGAGCTCTAACAGACACACAAGATTTGGGAGGAGTCAAAAGCAGCAGAATGGTGCAGGGAGGAAAGTTAACTGGGCACCCCTGCCCAGCCCTGCGGCACATCCCTCTAACAGACACAGGCACTAGAAGCCCGTCATCTAGTCCCGGAGAGCGGCACCACTGCAGAGCGGGGCTCCCCACAGACAAAGAGCAGCCCTTGCCAGTGCCTCACCAATGGTGGTGTAGTTGATGTAGTAATAGGCAGCAATCATGCCCAGGTTCAGAGGTGCCACGTCCATCTCGTCCTCTATGCTGATGCACTTGGACTGCTCCAAGTCACTCAGGGTCTGCTCCACCAACTCCGACAAGTGGTCAGACAGGTGACGGTGGGAGATGCCTGTGAAGGAGAGTGGTCAGTGAGGAGTCACAGGGAGACGGCCAGCAAGAGCTGTGAAAACCGCACAAGGACAGTATGCATCAAGGTTTGCTGACCCTGCAGGTTGTAGTAGTTCGGGTTCTGTGTCATGCGGCGGTACAGAAAGGTCCAGGTGAGGTAATCCACGGCATCCTGTTTATTCTCAATGGTCTTGGTGACAATCTCAGCATTGAAGTGGTCATGCATGCAGTGGTCCAGATGAGACTCTACTGGCAAGGGTTCATATAAGAACTTCTTAAAGAAATCCTGTGGATTGGGAAGGGGAGGTAGTAATAGTCAATTATATCATGGTCACAAAGAAACGCCAAGGGCCAATTAACAGGAGAATGCCCTCGTGTGACAGACACAGCTGACACAAAATTGGAGGAATGCAGCTGCAGACAAATGAGCTGGGTCTAGACCTGGAATGCTGGGAGTGTATGCCTGTTCCCACTGGCATCACTGGTTACTTTTA